TCACTGCTGGAAGATGGCAGGAGGGAGGGGTTACTATATTTGGGCAAAATGGCCGCTACTAGACTCAATGATCGCGACAAAATATATAATTTTATAATATTTTTGTACTGATTAATGCTAAATTCATTAAATCATCGTATTAGTTTTAGGTATAGATAATGATCCATTGATCAGTGCTTGCTGACCGGACTTTTCCTTTAAAGCTTAATAAGAAGTGAACGTGATTGGACCAAACCAGCCGGTTTGACTCCTACCTTGTTTATGGTGTGGATGAAGCCGTTGACTGCAGGCACGTTGTGGGAAATGATGGCGGCATCTCCAATGTGGAGCACCTGGACAAAAACCAACAACCGATCAGAAAATATTTCACCATGTGCTTGGTTGTTAACTTGGGCTGAGAGGGGAAGACTTGATCAACAACCAACAATCACTGATGCAGCACTTTAATTATTTCAAAAAATTACACTAAAATTATTATTCAGAGCTTTTTAGTATTGGAAATAAAAACCCACTCGAATATTATTGCAGATATTAAACTTGCAAGGAAGCAAGGAAGACGCACTTTTCTTTTTTTTTTTTTATATATTTTATATTATTTTTTATTTGTTTTTTTGTTTCGTTTTTTTTTATTTCTTTTTAAAAAATTTTATTTTATTTGTTTTTGTTTTTTTTGTTTTACAGGCATTTGGTGAGTTTATAATGATAAAAACATGAAATAAAGTCATTCCATTATAAATGTTACCATTAATGCATTGAACCTGAATATTCTCAAACAGGGACTCCATATTTAATGCGTAGTTTTTCCAGACCAAGCTCTTCTGGTGAGCAGCTCCTCAGAGGTGGCTCCTAATCAGGGCCTTAGCTACCCTTGAGGATACCAAGTTCATGTCATCTGTATTTGTTTCAATTTATATTTTGCCTAAATTGTGATATATAAACTAAAAATAAATCACTAAAGGATCAAATTACACTGAAACTGTAATTTATTTCATCGATGATCTTGGTCTCGCACAAAACCGGGTGTTTTATATTTGAAGAGTGGCGCGACTGTTTAATAAAACAGTGCAGCCATTTGGTCAATATCCACTGTTGCTATGGTAACGGAGCACAACACAGCAAAAAAGCACAGAGCAGCACACGGGGGGGGGGGACATGAAGTTGCAGAAACAAAATAAATCATATAGTTAAAAAAATTATTCATTATTCAAAATTATAATAATAATATTAAAACATATTCTGTAATAACTTGCCCTTACTTCAAAAGTCACCATAATGGTCTTTAAAAAAAAAAAAAAAGCCTCAAAGTGCCATATGTATTTACAAGCGTTGTGATGTTGTAAACTCCTATATTTAGTTATTTGTTTAAATGTGCATATTTTATATTGTTTATTCAATATTTGTACTGTTAGGACAATTCTGCTTCATTCTATCTCTATTCTCCCACTCTGCAGAATCTGTTAGTTCAATCTCTAACGTTCTGCTCTCTCTGCTTTTCCTCATAGTAGCTTCATCTGGTCTGTTCCTGTTTGGCTGTGACTCCATCCTGGAGAGAAATATCAGCTGTGCTGCTGCCATCAACACCTTTGTTTATAGATGCTGGAGATCGGCCTGATTTTCAGTGTAGTCCTGTTTCTCTGAGTGTGAGTAACTGGATGTGCTCTCTTCATCCTCTGATATCCTCTGACATGTTTCCTGGATGGGGCCGCCTTTTACAGTTGGCTTTTGTATCTCTGCTTCTGTC